GCCATAAGCGAAATGATCTGTTGTTCCCAGTTGAGTAGCGACTAACGCATTCAATCATCTTTTTCAGCATATTACACAGCAATTCAAAATATAATTCATTATAGCTTCAGCCATAAGCTTCCAAATAAGTATAAGGGATTTGAAACTGTGGCTTTCATATGCCAGTGAAAGCACTTGTTCAGGTGGATGTTAAATATTGCTTGTCCCCCCACCCCGTGGAAAAGAGAAGGAAGTTTCTCCTGGTCTCATGGCCAACAATCCTTTAGATTAATTGAGCAGTCACCTCATGGCTTTGGGATTACCTGACAGGTATTTACTGTCGGGTGTAATAAACTCACCAGACTCCACTTCCACATTGCTTGACCCTTGCCAAACTGTGCCGAATACTCTCCAGAATTAAGTAAGCAGGATGCGTCCCTTCGGGGGGAGATTGCACTCCATTCCAATAAATATCTTGGGAATTTTCATGTGTAGGTGGGATGAATGGAACTCTGTCTGCTTTGGAAACTTTTAAATTGGTGATGGGTTGCATGTTTTAAGACATTTGGCTGACGAAAAAGAAATGGCATTTGCGTTTGCCTACAAAAGTAATTCCTACAATTGACAATATTTGCCTGTAAAGCAAGGTGCTATAAATACTTGCCTTCCCACTCCACCCTCCTGGCAGCTCTACCCCAACGGTATCACTACTACGTGTAGCTAATTTTCCCACAGCAGTATACCACAAGCAGAAGAATTGTTGTTCAGGATACCATGAGAAACTCTTCTCTTATCTAAAATTGCCATGGGTTCTTTAGTATCCATTGGACCAAACAGGTTTGATCTCGGTTTAACGATTCATCCAAATGATGGCATCTCTGATAATTCAGAGCTCCCCCAACACTGCACTGGACTATCAGCAAAGTCTGTGAGCCTGTTTTAAGAAAACGTTAAATATGATTGTCAGTACCTTAGGATGTCCTCCAGACATAAAAGGAGCGACACAAATGTAATTTGTTGTTGTTGATTGTCTGTCGAAAATGAGATTTGAATTCAAGTCTCTTTTAGATTAATCTAGAGTGGAGATTATGGGTTATACAGCTTTGAGTTACTCCAAATTTCTCTCATTAAGGCTAGGGAAAGTTCTGTACAATCACTAATAAGCGTGGGATCAAGAGCTTTGCTAACTGCCCCTGATGTTGGTCATAAATTGTAATAAATTGCCAGGTTTGTGACTGGAACTTGAATAACATTATAAAGCTTGAGGGCGTCAGTCCACCGGACTACACAAAAACTTGTACATTTAATTTTTTTAAATGTCTGGAATCTGCTACAATAAAACTCAATTAATATTCAGCCAACCAGGCTCAGGTCCAAATCAATGCTCCTAGAACTGGATTTATACTGCAATTCTAGCGCCAAATCAATGGTGAAGCCACATTGAATCAATGTTAACTATAAGATATAAATAAGGCATTAGACTCACACCTAAGGGATTTACTTCACTGTGTCTACTTGGCTGCACTCCTTGAAAATGTTACAAGCAGAGAACCAATAGCTATGGATAACTACTATTAGCTCTAATCTTTAACCTCATTTAGTTTGGAAATACTGTATAGGCACATTGTTGGAATTCAAATATAAATAATTTCTCCTTGTTCCTATTGGCCTATGAAACCATAGCCTGTTTAAACAAGAGGCGGTTTCCTGAGCTAGCAGGTAGGTAGGTGAAGAGTCTTTAACTGTTTTTAACTGTTTCTAACCCATTCTAGCTGACTCATCTGCCCAATGCAAATGGCTTCCTACAGAGTACATTCCTGCTTTCATTCACTGAAACAACGGAATAATGCTTTTACATTATCCATGCATGGACTGTGGCATTAAGTAGAGGGCAGTAGGGTGACACTTTTTCGTGCATTAACTGCTTTATCTTTGCCTCTGCACTTCCAGAAGGTGGGGTGGGGGGCTGGTCGGGGGGAGAGCAAGCTCTTGCAGCATGTGGGGAATGCATGCTGTCGTCTAATACGTGGCAGAATGATACTGGCCACACTGGCCAGGCGCTAACAGTTTATTTAACGGTTTATTTTCATTATTTATGGCTATTCAGGTGTATCTTCTATCCTCCAACCCCATTATGTCACGTGTGGAGGACAGGGAAAATAAACTCCCAAAGGCCTTGTGCAGCCAAGAGGAACTTAACATTATATCTTTCCATTTCCACAATGGCAGCATATTGGGTGTCAGTGGGTGGAATGTGGGCATACTCCAGTGCTCTGAAGCCCAGCCTTTTCTTTCTGCAGTTGCGTCTTCTTGCTGTGAAGAGAATGGGTGATCTTGACCCCACAAAGGGTCTGGGATAATCAGTCGCCATTCTTGGCCACATTGTGATAATATAACATGCAACATTTTTCCCGCCCTCTCTTACTTGCATTTGCAGCCCTCTCCTACTTGCATTTGCAGAAAAGAAGAGCTGGGCTGATCCCAAGTGTAAAAGGGATGAATTATGAAGATAAAGAAATTGAAGCTTTACAGTCCGTAAAGAAGGCAGTTAAGTGGGAACCTCATTGAAGTATATAAAATATTTAATGAGAGTGGCACTATACCGTCAAGTGCATCGCGAATGAATAAATCTTTTGGAAGTTTATTTTTCTGATCCCCTGCCATAAAATAACAGGAGTGGAGGATAGGAAGTGGTTATTGTGAAAATCAACTTTTAATTGTATGTACAGTATTATTATTTATTATTACATTCCTTATGCTTTACCAGCCGAGCCACCCCCAAACTGTATTTTTTGCATTTTTCACCACTGTATATCATTTGTGGTGCAGTGATTAAAACTGAGCATAATATTTTACTTAAAGCCTTTGTAGAACTCATTTTATAATAATAATATTGCTTACATTTGATATACCACTTTTTACTTAAATAGGACGTTTTGAAAGCGCTTCACAGGATATACTGTACGTGTAGTGACTGTATTTTGCAGGCAAAAGATTTTTCCCTAATACATAAGGTATGGAACCATACAAAGAACAATACTCTTTGTAATAACTGTGATATATATTGTACATTGTATTGTAACTCTTACAATACAATATAAATTTACATTTATATCGCACCTTTCATTTCAGGAGGACGTCCAAAAGTGCTTAACAGTACTTGCTGGACACCAGAGCTGGGTGCGGGAATACTGTAGTGTGTATTGTATCCATGATTGCATAACAACTGATGTTCAGGCATCAGCACCATCGCTTAAACATAATGCGGCTGGTGGCGAAATATAAAAACAGCATTAGTTTAATTAAAGTCCTTTGTATGGAACTTTGTAGAAGGTTTCTGACAGTTGGAATAACATCCTTAAAGAATTCAAAGAGGTTCTTGTTGGCATGATGATAATAATAATGTTGCTTGCATTTAGTATAGCACCTTATCGCAACGTCAAGATGTCTCAAAATGCGTCACAAGATATCCTGTAATTTGGATTGATTGTATTTTGTGGGTGAATTGCAGCAGCCGGTTTGTGCACAACAATGTCCCATAAACATGGAGTGAGTGACCAATTTTATTTGGAGGATTGTTGGCCAGGATACCGGGAGGGAGAAACTCCCTTTTCTTTTCGAATAGTGACATGGGACCGTTAATGTCCACCTCAACGGGAACAACCTCAGTTTAATGTCTCATCCGATGGACGGCACATCAGCCAATGCAACTCCTCCCCAAACCGTCTCGGAGTGTCGGCTTAGACTATGCGATTCCATGTTCTGACACAGGGCTTCTGTCTCGGAGGCGAGAGTGCTACCACTGCGCCAGGCGGACACACATAGATCATCCCCTTCTAAATCCATATTGATTGATCATTAATTTCTTACTATTAGTGGAATCCCACTTTGTTATAACTTGTAGCATTTACTGCACATGCACACAGCTGATCGTCTCACTTTCACGTGCCAGCTAGTTCCTACACAAATAAAAATTGCCGTCATCAGGTTACTTCCTGTGCTCTGGTTAGTTGAGATTTTATAGATCCCAATTACTGCCTTACAACAGAGCTCCACTACATATGAATTATTCTTCATCTTGCCCTTTCATATCGTCACCATTATATTCCTGATGTTAGGATATCAGGCCTATAATTTCCTGGGTCAGTTTTATCTTCCCTTTTAAATATAAGTTTGACATTGACCAGCTTCCAGACCTCCAGAAGCTCACAAGTGCTTTGCCTTCCATAATGGTAGGCAGTGTTCCACAAATGTCCTGATTTTCCTCCCTGGGAGATAAAGCATGGAGTTCATCAGGTTTATTTTGAAAGACAGACTTCAGGTAGGTCTGATTCAACGTAGCAGTCAAATGTCCTTGCTCCAGCTATAAAAGATTTTCCTGGTGCAGACCCCAGCTGCTGTCTTTTGTCAAAATGTACCAGTACTGTGCATTTTATGTTAAGTGACTCGGTTTACAATCCATAAATTACTGGCCTTATCTCACCTTTTCAAATGCTAATCTATTAATTGTACCTCTAACTGGGTCAGTTGAACACTCATTATTCATTAACTACTGGAGTGCAGCCAGGTTTACTGTCACACTGACTTTGAAATCCTTTAAGCTCTCTTACTGTCTATTTGTAGTGTCCTAAATAACATTGTTATTACGATTGCAAAACAACCTTGAGGGTTAGAATTCTGAGAGCCAAACGGTGGAAGAAATTGATGTCAGTTTGTTTCTGTTACACATCAGCTGCATTCAAAAGTTCGGAGAGAGGCGTACATCAATATTTGCCATCTATAATAGGGAGGAGCTACCCTAGACTGAAGCACAGAGCCATTCAACTCGAACTATAACAAGCAAAGTATTGGATTGGGCACAGGGTATGTTGTCTTCAGAAACCATTGTAGGCTGGCTAGGTCTTTTATCCTCATGTGTTGCATACCAGCCTTGTCATTCCCTCGCACAGTAGCTCTGATTGGTACACAATGATTTTAAAAATAGTTCTTGTAGTAGTAATAACTTTATGGAGACTTCAGACTGTAGAACATGATTACTTGTTAAAGACATAACAATTTGATAAATTTCATTCATGAAAAGTGTAGATTTATTTTTGATTAATAGGTCTAGAGAACTGGCATGCCTAAATTCCACATACGGTATATATCAAAAGGACATTTACCTAGAGAGATTGCAGCAAAGATAATATATTGTTGGCTACATAAAAGTAGAGTAATTAATGTCATGATTTTCATTATGCTCAACATGCATAAGTCACTAACAAAACACAGCCAAGTGTATACAGATGAACAGATGTACACATATATATCTATATAAACTTGCCACAAAAATCATAGAATCATAGAATTGTACAGCACAAAAAGAGGCCATTCGGCCCATCGAGTTTGTGCCGGCTCTTTGAAAAGAGCAATGTAATGTCAATCCCACACCCCCAGCCTTTTCCCAATAGCCCTGCACACCCGTCCTCCTCAAATACCGATCCACTGCGTTTTTAAAAGTTGTTATCAAATCGGCCTCCACCACCCTTTCAGGTAATGCGTTCCAGATTCGAACAACTTACTGCGTGAAAAAAGTTCTTCTCACCTCCCCTCTGCTTCTTTTAGAAACTATTTTAAATCTGTGATCTTGAGTCACCGACACACCCACCATATTTGTAAATATTTGTAAATCATTACAAATATTTAGAAATTGAGATAATGCCATCCTTGTCCAATCATTTTAGTCTCACACAATAATGCACTTGGAAATCTCCAGCGGTTCTTGAAAGGTGAAGTTTATTTTTCTTCACAAACAAGTGAGGATGATCTTTTAAGCATTGCAATCTCTCTACCATAGTCATGGCAATGTGCAAATAGTTTTTCAAGTTGTTGAACTGTGATGCAGGTTATAACTTGCGAGAAGAGGTGGTAATCATGAGCAGGAGTTATTTGAATCAGTTTTGTTTCTTGGCCAGCTTCAAGTTGCGGCTTGCAAATGTAAAATGTAAATAAATAGAAATGGAAAATTGTATTGCATTGTAATTAAGAAAGAATTAAGCAGCTCTCGGTCAAGAATGCAATGATGTACACAAAAGCTTCCTCCATGCTGGCTAGAGAACTTGCCTACAGCACCCTGCATGTTGGACAGAAGGCTGCCCACTGTTGAAGGTGGCCATTGGCTCCTGTTGGAGGAAAGTACATTGTTTTGAGCACTAGCAGACTATTTGCAACTCCTCCATGTGCAGAAATGGTTACTCAAGCCTGTGAGCAGTGGTAGATCGTCTCTCAAATGCGAACTGCAGAGGAAATTAGGTAAAGAGATGCACTTCACTGCACACAAGACTGACTTTATGTCTAAAGACAGATAATCATGGCCAAATAATAATGATCATAATAGAAGTGATAATAATTTTTGTTGCATTTGATATTATGTGTTTCACATCGGGAGGGTGTCTCAAGCCTTCACAAGAATTATTGTAAAGGTAGTGAATGTGTTCTCTAAGTTGGAATGGCTGAAGGTTTCAATTAAAGGAACATGTACTCAATCCTATCTGCTGTTCAGGTTGTTGCTCCCTTCTATAGTAGCATGTGATAGGTTTACAGCAACATGTAAACTAGCACTGACAAATTCCAAAACAAACTAATCGTGATTTGAACCTCAATTATCAATGAGAACCAGTTAAGGTTTTTTATAATGGTAATGTTGGATTTCTTAATGCCACAAAGAGACACCTGTGAAATTTCTCTTGGATTTAAACCTGGTTATTTAATTTTCTCTCCAAATTCCATCATTTTAAAACCATTAACTTTAAGATGGAATTTTGGGCACATTTTTCCTATGTACATTATTCTTTGTACTACAGAATACTTTCCATTTAGTCTTTTGGAAGGGTCTGACCCACATAAGTGTGCAAGATGTAACAGACCAATTAGACATTTAAGTACAATACAGAACACTTGGCACTTGGCTGGGTCACATATGCTGTGAATTACCAAAATGCTATAGAAGGCTGGCACTGAAGCTTTCATCTCCTCTTCCCTGGTGTTACCTGTGTACTTGAAAATCATTTGCTGAAACTAAGGATCACCTGGCAGTTAGTCATTAACATCTGGCTTTCCTGGAAAAAGCAGCCTGTGTATGATTGGGGAAAGGGTCAATTTGGACTGCGCTCTCACAGAGTCTCAAAGCCTTGGCTCAGTCATTGACCTGTGTGGAATTTTACTGATTTTACCTTGTGGTTCAAGGCAGATATCGGGACATAAAGCAAATCCAACCCTTTAAACCTCCTCCGGGCCTCCGCAATCATTGAGTATGTATTGTGATGGTATCGGTTATCCACACATACACGGAACACCATTAGGAATATACTTTTGAGGTCTCTGTTAACCAAATAAACAGTAATGGAAGCCAGGAGATATACCTGAATATTAAGTGACACAATTCCTTAATTCCTCATGTTAATTAGAAACATTCCACAACTACCACTGGGTGGAGCATTGCTCCCCAGGTAAGTGAGATCACTTTCTCTTAAATCACCACATGGCCATTTTTTTGAATTGATTTTTTAAATGTAATTTTTATTCATTGGGATGACTTTAACTGTATTGTTTCCTGGGCTTGGCCAGCAAGAGTGGGGCAAAATCCACACACTTTCCAGCTCAGAAATAACTTAAAAATAGATGATTGTTTAAAAGTAACTTTTGGTTAGGAAAAGAGCATGGATTTTACCTTTATTGGTTTGATCAAGCTCAGAAAACAAATATTAACAACAACAACAACAAAATTACATTTGTATAGCGCCTTTCATGTCGGGAAGATGTCCCAAGGCGCTGGACAGACAGAGTTATGGACCCGAGCTGGTGTCGGGGTGGGGGAAGGTGGATGTCGGGGGGGAAGCAGGGAGATCGAAAGCACGGTCGAAGAGGTGGGTCTTGAGATGGGTCTTGAAGGTAGCGAGGGAGGGGTTGAGACGGAGGGACTGTGGGGTGGAGTTCCAGAGGGGCAGAGTGATGGAAGGCCTGCACGCCAATAGTGGGGTATTGAAAGAACAAATTACAAATGACTAAAAATTATATTTAAAAAATCTTTGTTCCCCAAAAAGGAGTGAGCAAACAAAGGTGATTCCACTTACCTGGTCCACCTACTGATGATTATAGAATTTATCTTAATCAATAACAGCAATTTAAAAAAAATTATATAGCACTTTTCACGTCAGGAGGATGTCACCAGGACAGTCAAAGATTTGCACTCCAGCAGGGGGTTGGAGGTGGGATGGGGGTGGAGGGAGAAGATGACTGAAGATGTGTTCAAAGAGGAAAGCCTTGAGTTGGACCTTAAAGGAAGTGAGGAAGTAATTAACACACAAAATGCTAAAAAATAGTGTAAATCACTATCCCAATCTTCTTATAATTGTTGTGGACACCATTGTCTGCTAGCATTGTTTTTGTTCAACTCCCCTTTCTTCCTTGCCAAATGATTTTATTTAACCAGTTTTATCATCTATAAAACTCACAGTCACTACGCTTTACAGTAAATCCTACAAAGTGCTTTTACATGTCCTTCCGACATGAAAGGCGCAATATCAAATGCAAGGATTATTATTATTTTTTCAATTCTACAGAATTGTAGCAAATTGATGGGATTTGTGTGTGCATATACTACATTTTTAATGAAGAAAAAATCTTCAATGAATATCTACCGAGGCTAAAGGACGGAAAATATGCAAAATTCATTATTATAGTTCTAGTAAGCAAATCCATATTAACACCAGGTCAAACTGTTAAAATAGGAAACCGATACACTTGGGCTACCCTGAAGGAGGAAATCAATGCTGAGACCACAATGCTCTAGTCTACTTTCACTTTTTCAAACACTATGTGTTGATAGTTTAACCTTCAGATAACCTTAAACATTCAGAGACATCTTTGTTGTTTAGCCAAATTATCATGTTTTGTATTTCTGAGGTACAGTTTTAAATGTGAATGTTCGAACAATAGCATTAGCTTTATGCTTCAGTACATGTCTGTGTTAGATGAAGCCTCTCTTGAACAACAAAGCAATTTAATGTAATACCATTATTCTGCATAAGAGCAAACCTCCTTTAGCACATCAGCTCACATGCATCTTGAAGGGGAGTGACAGTACATTTCTTGTTCAACTTCAGTTCCTACACCACAACTAAATAATTTGGCGTCAGTGTTCAGTGAAAAATAATTAAACTTCACCTAGCATAAGAATATCTCAAAGATTAAGTTAATTTCAACAAAAAACTGCTTGTGTGATATAATTACCAATTTTGCAATGTTTAATTAATTTATTTAGATTCCACTTTCCCTGGCGTATGTGCATGAATGTCTTAAAGAGCAATATATAGTTATCATCACAGGAAAACTACTGTTTATTTGTTCTACGAAGAAAGGTTTGTATACAGGTACAGTCATTAATATCCATTTGATTCTGTTTCCTGAACAATTCACACCAGTTAGTAGGAAGTGATTGATCTGTATAATAAATAATTTCCTTTTAAAAGGAGGAACTGCACTAAAATTACAGTAATTATTGATATTAATGGAAGACACACTGTATTATTGACCCAGTTCTTAAGTGTCTCAAATTCCACTGTGATCAATTAAAACACATGGCAATTTAGATAGACAATAAGAATGAAAAGACATTTTCAGTAAGAGCGTGTTCAGAATTTCAATAATATTACTAAAGGCACTGGTGGTGGTGAGAGAAGGGGGAGAACAATAATCCCAGTATTGATATTTGAATCAATTTTTATAATTTGTTCACAGTACAATAAAAAGAGCAAAGGAATAAGAAAACGTATGCTATACACTTGCAAAAATTATGACAATTATGGATGGCTCCTAATATGTTTCCATCAAACGTACATTTGTCTTAAATTTTGCAATGAATTTTTAATGCTGTGAAAAAGCCTAACACTGCTATCTGCTAACACTGTACACATGCTTAGATCTGCTTGACCTTGAGGTGCGTTTCAAACCCACGTCTGGTCTATTTCCAAGATCACTTTCTTCCATCTCTGGAACAAAGCCTGCTTCCACCCTTGCCGCACCTCACTAATAAAACCCTTTTCTATTCTTTTGCGACCTCGAGAAGTGAATTTCCAGCACTCTCCATGGCCTCCCTAACTCCACTCTAGTGGCCTCAATTAATGAAGAATTTTGCAGCCTTTGTTCTCCCTTGCACAAAGTTCTTAGGATTCATTACGTTTATCTGTTAGCTTGCAGCACCTCAGAAGATTGAATTGAAGATCTTTATTCCGGTCTTCAAATCCCACCATGTTTTACCCACCACCATTTCTATTTGAGCCTGACTAGCAATCCAGCAAGTACCCTACATTTGTTCCAACTTCGGCCAAGTGTTCACTTCCCATTCCCTTTGTTCCACGATCAATGATCTTGCCTTCAGCCACCCTATCCTCTGGAACTCCCTTTCAAGATCACTTTGCCTTTTTCCCTGCCTGTAGAATTTTAAAAAATTCGCTTTGACTATACTTTGGTTAACATCTTAAATGAAGAGCGGTGAGATGTCTCAACAATGAGACCAGGCGGTATATCAAATGCAAGGATTATTAATTTTATTATTATAATTCTTATTTCTCTGTTTGTTGTCCATCACTGTCTTTGCCAAGCTAAAATACACTATAATAATTCAAGATTTTGTTGTTGCATATGTAGAACTCCACTCATTGATTCCAAGTGGGAAATATTAATCTTGCTTCCTGCTTCCCGCTGGTTAGTGTCTGTCCCCAACACTGTTAAGCACCTTAAACCATTCTTTTTTGCGAAGGCTGCTACATTAATGCATGTTCTTGTTGTTGTTGCTCTGAATTGCTCTACAGCTCAAAGCTAGGTCACATCAGCTCCATCAGTATAAAAAAAAGCTTCAGTGCTGATAACTAATGTACATAGTAATGTCTGTGGTTAAATATATTAGTGCCTAATAATATTCAGGGTTGATTTGCCAGCTCTGATTAGGTCAAATATTTTTAGACCTGAAAATTGCTAGGTTCATGATTTTTGTTGAAGTTGTTTTCCACATGATACATGGTGTGCAGATACATGGGTCATTAAAGGCAGCAGTGCTGGTAGATAAAGTCATGTAAAAAGGCAAACCGAGTCTTTGCTTCTTGTGAAAGCCCTTAATTACCCCAAAGTTGGAACATTATGGACACTTTTTGTCACCTCATAACAGGAAAGATATAAAAGCAATGGAAGAGGTGCAGCAATGATTCACTAAGATGATTCTGGGGATGAGAGATTTCAGTTATGAATTAGCTTTACTTTGATTTTTGCTTTTATTAAAGCCAGTTAGCCACTAACCGGGAGTCTAACATTGCAATTGACAAGCTAAACGTGTAATACAAAGTTTGGGTTGTTTTTCAGCATGGTCAATCTGTGGTGTGAGGGGTGGAGGGACACGGAGAATAATTCTGCTTCAGAACATTGAAGGTCTAGTCGATGTGTTAAATATCATAAGGGCACTGCTTTCAGCAACTATACCCCAAATCTCTGGGACTTTTTGCCTCAATTCCTTCATCTGGCCCCTTCTTTGCCCATCTTCAAATCACACTGGAAACATTCCTCCTCGACCGTGCCTTCAGTCACCTCCCCTCTCTTTCCAGTTCAGCGTGAAGGCCGCTTTGTAAAAATGGAAGTTGATATAGTCAATGCATGTGTTAGTTAGCCCCATAAGTGTTCCATTGTGACTTTCACCCATTGGCATCTGTGCTCCCAGGTCTCAGCTCCTCTGAATATTCTCCATTAGGAATATAATATGTTTTGATTTACATTATAGCACCAAAACTATATACAAAATAAAATAATAATGATAAACAATCCTTGCAATTGATAAAGTCTCATATCATACCATTTAAAGAATCTGAAAGTGCTTTCATATGATTTTACTGAAAAATGCAGTGACTATTTTGTAGGAGAATGTGGCAGCCAATTTGCACACGGTAATGTCCCACAAAAAAATCCATTGTCTTCGAAATAAAGTTGATAGTTTTAGACTGGCAAATATGCTGATCTGTTTACCCAAACTGTGGTACATATGGCTTCCTTCAGAGGAAATCCCCCTTCTTGAGCTTCCTTATTCTTATTCTCTCTTTTTCTCTCGCTCTCTTTCACTCTTTCTTTTTCTCCCTCTCCTACCAGGCATTGATAATTAGATATAGGGAAAGAATGGGAGAAGTACAGCAATTAAAAAAAAAATTATTTAATATAATTTGCCATATGATATTAACACTGATGAAAATTTTCACCAATTAATCTAAGTGGAGAATCGATGAATTCAATGAACGATTAAAGATCAGATAGATTGCTCAAGTATCTTCACATGAACGGGAGATTTTTTATAATGATTTAGGCAATAATCAGTTATCATCTTCTTGTGGGTATTTAATGAATCATTGAAGTACACAATAATTGTATCCACGTTTTAACCTTGGCCATTGTAGATGACGTGAAAGCAGTAGGCCACAATTTAATTGTTATTTGTTGCACCCTTGCTGGTTTGCGATCAATCCATTTACAGCTTGTTTCTGCTCATACATTACATTAACAATTTCTCTACCATTGTATAAATTTCAATGTCCACGTGAATAACAGACAAATGGCTGTTGTAACAGTAGCAGTAGCAGCACCTCCAAATATTCAACTTGGATCTATTTTGTAAACCACTGCTATAGCCTTTGGGAGTCAGTAGAACCTCTGCACCAACAGAGATATACGCGGCTTTACCTATAGCCAGAAAAATAGGAAACATAAGTGCTCTTCAAACGAGTCATTAACAAGTGAATTCAAAAATATATTTACCTATGTTTGGGTAAAATTTATTATGTTTATGTTTTGAAACAAAAAAGAATGTAAATAGAAAGAAAGGTACTTGGTGTTTGTTTCAGGAAAGAGAACAATACATTCTCAAACTAATAAGTGAAAAACGTATAGAAAATAACCTGAAGGTTGTCTAGGACATTAAAGCATGAGAGAATGTGCCCAAGAGAGAGATGTTCTTAGGTAAAAATGATGCATTTCAATTGCAATTACTGTGCAAATCAATTTGAAACATATAGGAGTCAATTAGCTACATACTGTGAGATGGATTATCATATTTCCATAAGAATTTCATGAACAATGCCTGCACTTTGACAAGCCTGACAGAGAATACATCAGTTTTCATGCAAATCAACTACAGTCCTACATGTTTCTAACTTCAGTCAAACGGCTGCACGTGTTGAAAAGGCAAGAAGCTGAGGAATGCATTTTGTATCAAGTGTGTGGAAATGTCAGGAGGATCGCA